AATATGGTTCATGGGGTCACGAAGAGTCGGACACGACTTAACGACTGAACAACAACAAAATCCTACATTTTAACATGAACAGGGAGGTAACTGTTGGAAATAATCGTTGGAAAATTGACTATTTGTGAATTATATTTCAATGTATTTATTTGTAAAAAATACAGTGTATACCTGTATAGTGAGGTGATAGAGAAATTCCCATCAATGCAAATTAAAGGAACAATTCTAGAAGAAGCAACACAAAACTGTCATGTTAGTGTTTTTTCTGGAGTAGGAATTGAGCACCCTGCAGAGTTAATTGGTTTATCTTTCCAAGACAGCTGGAAGCCTGTCATGGAAAATGTAAAGATAACAACTTCAGATTAATATGTTCTTTAAGGGTGCATAGGCCTTAATATTTCTGTAGCTTTTATTTGCATATGCTGGAGTTTGAAGGACAAAAGAATGTAGGAGAAAAACTTCTCAACCTCCTCCCCAAACACTTACATGTGGCTATTCCTAGCCTCCAATTTTTTTTTTTTCATTGAGCCATTGGCTCCTCCATGTTCCCCAGTAACTAAACCAAGCTGTGGGCTATAGAAAACATATTATTTTCTTTTTCATTTAGCTGTACTTCAATTTCTCCAGTTTCTGTCATTTCTTTTTTTTAACCTTGTGAGCACTTTGAGGTAAGAACTTACCAAATTTGGAAGTATAGCGTCCTTTATTGTAAAGTAAAAACAATGCTTACATCTCCCTGAAAACTGCATTTTGTATAATTGTGTAAATATAGAATTAAACATTGCAATATATTTTTGAACTGGATACCTAAACTAATTCAATTGGTATGGCATTTAAATGAGGATCGGTAAAGAGAGGACGACACCATCGCGCTTCACAGTAGTCTTTTAGCGCCGCTTCCTGCTCATCAAGGGAACGGCCGCTTTTGGAGTCTGGCGACAAAAAGACCGTTGATTTCCCGTCCTACATGCTATGTTTTGCTCCTCCCCTCCTTTTGTGCCAGAACTTCAGCCATTTTGTTTAACCGCGCCTCCTTTCTCTGCGCGTGCGTGTACAGGCGCGACTGGGCGTGAGTTGCGCGCGTCGGCCCCGCCACAGGATCTCTCCAGTCTTGGTGTTTCTGCGCGTGGCCAGAACGGGAAGATGGCATTGCACGTTCCGAAGGCCCCTGGCTTCGCCCAGATGCTGAAAGAAGGGGCGAAGGTGAGCAGAGAAACTCATGGGGAATGGAGGAGGGTGGCGCTGGAAACGAAGGAAAGCGGAAGGTTCCAGAAGAGAAATCGCAGCTTGCGTTCTAAGGCACCGGCTCCACGCGCCGCTCACAGAGGCGGGGCTATTGGGCCTTGTCGTTAGTACGGCTCATGCGTGGTACTGCGAACGAGCGTGGTTGTTGCTTGAAGAATGAATATAGAGGCTTAAGAATGAATATGGTTATGGCGACTCCCTTCTAGCTCCTAACGTACAGGAGAAACGCCCAAGACGGCCTTTCCCGGCCTGCTGCTGTCCAGCGGGCACGCAGAGAATTCTGGAGATGAGCTCCGGTGCTTGCGGAGAGTAGCAGGCCGGAGAAAGCTCAAGGAGTCCACGCGAGCTCCGCCTGTCATTCTAGCCCCCGTCCCGTCCCCCTCCCCTAGGGCAGGTTTATGTTGTATAATTGTATTTGTTTCAGCCTTATAGCTAATGTTTTATTAAGAGTTACAGAATTGCGGTGTAAAGGGCCATCGCCAGAATGGGTGGCGGGAACAGGTTTTGGTGCTCAGGTGGATTGCTTGGTTGTGAGTCTGGTGCAGTCAGTCCAAAATGGCAGAAAGGAGCATCCCTCTTTTCCGAATTTAGCTCCATTCTATCACGCCGGGTCAGAGCTAGCAATGTTTTAATGCCCTTTCTGTTTTGTATTAGGACACTGGCACATTGATCACATCCATGGCTGGATCAGGATACTGTATTTTAAACTATGTGCATAATTCATTTTGTCTTCCTGAACATTAACATAACTAGCATATATCTTGGTTTTTTAAAAATAATATTTTGCAGTGTCTACATTGTTTCTGAATAAACATGAGTCTTTGATTAAGAAAGGCGTCCTTTCGCAGTTTAACAGTGGGAAAAGGAAAGCATGAGACAAGTAAATCAATTGAAGGAAATGAAGTGAGATCCTTCAAAGGTTCTGTACAGGGACCACTACTGCTTCACTTATACAGAAATGAACAGTAGAGGGCCAAGTTTACAGATTACACCATATCAGTGAAAATGGTATATGTAGTGCAAACATTCTGACAGGTAGAAACTTACCTAGATTTGGACAATTTTGCAGAGATGTGGAGACAGTATGCAACAGGTGTAGAAAATGGAAATTGCACATTATAGATCATTGCAGAAGTTACTAAATTTGTGCTAAACATCATTGTGCTTTAAAACATCTGTGATGCAGTCGTTCTTGAAATATTGAACTTTTCGCAACCACACTTTGAAAAGAATTGTGCGTGCCTGGAAAAGCTATTGAAATTCAAGATAATACATTTTCTTAATTTACACATTAAAAAGTGAATCTGTGTATATCTCTTATAATTCATTATAATTATTTCTTAGGAATTTACTTGAAGCTAAAATGTCAAGCTTCCTATTACCTTTGAATTTTTTTCAGTAATTTCAATTTAAATGTGATTTAGAATTTGAACATGAATAAGTAGATTGATTTCATAGTATTTGATATAGCTTGTTACTTAAGCCAAGCATGTCTCTAGGTACCTAATGGCAATGAAGTCTGGCCATATTCATGTAACACATCTTCAAGAACTTTAATATGATCTTCTGATTCTTCCCTACTTCAGTTAATGTTGGTTACACCATTCACATTATGCTTTTCCTCCTTTAAGGTTTTGGGTAGTTAATGAAAAAGCATCCATCTGCTTCTTTACCATGTATTACTTTTGGTTTGCATGCTGTCTTATCATGGCATGGTTGGTGACTACCTCCTCATATTATCCATTTGTTACTTCATCATCACTGCTCCTTGGTGTTCAGTTAAATTCTAACAAGGAAAGTGCAAAAATATAGATTGTCTGCTGACTGGAGTTCTTAAAAAAAGGAACTGAAGAAGCAATAATATTCCAGTCAGAATATGCTATGCAAACATAAATCATAACAGCCAAAATTGAATATATTTCAAATGATAGCAAATGCTGACTATGTAAAATCAAAGATGAAACTGTAGGTTAACTCATTAATGGCTGTATCAAAATTGTCAATGCTGAATATAAGCAATCCGGTTTACAAAAATCATGCATTGGAATTTATGTATAGAGGGTAAAGTTTGACTTTACTGTTGACACTGGGACCCCACAGCTGAAAATGTCTTAGAAAATTAGGCAAGATCTTGTGGGCTTTTAAAATAGACTGATAAACACCTGAAACACAACACACCAGTCATTAGTGTTACTGAAAAGAAGTAAGAAAAAGTGTGGTACAGCAACTTTTCAGTTGCTGAACTGAATTCAGCATATATATAGCAGATATAGCAGTACCAGGAGATAGTCAAACTGTTGAGAAATGAATGGAGAAAAAAACCCACAGAGATTTGCAAATTGAGGTTGAAAGCCTTTGGAAGAAAAAGTCAACTATAATACGATAGTAATTGGAGTTCTTGGAGCCATACCAGAGATTCCTCAAAGAAAAAAAGAAAGACCGATTGACCGATCACTGTGTTTGGAACTTTCTTTATAATACCACAATATCTCCCATGTTTCCTAGACTCTTGGTTAGAACCCAAATTTTTGGAAAATAGCCATTCTGCAATATTTGTTAGATGAATAAACAGTATAAAGCAGTCTGAGAAACAATGGTGATACAGAGTTTTTATCTACTTCTGTATTTTAACTGGAGGCTATGTAATAGAGACATTATCGTTTTATTATTTCCAACAATATTGGAAATTATGTGAAAGGGGATTGGGACGCCTTCTGTTCATTGGCAGAATACAGGTAGTCCTCACTTAATGATCGTTTAATGAAAGTTCAAAGTTAAGATGGCCCGTAAAGCACTTCCTGCTGTTGTAAAACTTCCCCATGGTCACATGGCTGCATTTCGGGAGCTTGGCAACTGGGTCACATTTATGACTGCTTGCCAAGTGCCCTGCGCTCATGTGATCGCCATTTGCAATCTTCTCTGCCGGCAGGGAAGGTTGCAAACAGAGAGGATGTGGCAGTGTGCAGGAACAGAGCTGAAATCTTCAGGATTTGAGCTCCCTTCCTTCCCTATGGCCAAGAGGTTTCCCCTCCCCACTCAGCAGTGCGAAGGAACAGAGCTCAAATCTTCAGGATTTGAGCTCTATTCCTACCCCCCCGCTAAGTGGAGAGGGGAAACCCCTTGGCCGTAGGGAAGGAAGGGAGCTCATATCCTGAAGATTTCAGCTCTGTTCCTTGAGCCCGAGGAAGGATTTCCCCTCTGTTCACGAGGAGAGGGCAAACCCTTTGGTGGGCTTTAGGAATGTTTGAGAGTGAAAGGGCTGCCTGCCAGGAGGATTTCAGCTCTGCTCTCAAAGAGCTGCCTGCTGGGACGATTTCAGCTGTGTGCTGAGCTGAAATCCTTCAACAAACAGCTCTTTTGCTCCGTCCACTTAATGGCCTGGGAGATCACTTAATGACCGCAACTGGGAGTGCCAGATTGCTGTTGTTGAGCAAAGCAGTCGTGTGGACATCTCGCATAATGACCACTTTGTTCCATGACAGATTCTGGTTCCAGTTGTGGTCATCAGCCAAGGACTACCTGTAATTCTTAAAAAAGATACAGAACATGGCTAAATTTGGTGAGAGAGAGACTGGCAGAAGAAAAATAGTGTTTTAAAACGTGACAGAATCAGCTGAGAACTAGGAAGAAAAATATCCATTAAAAATTTCCTCAGTGCATCTGTATGGCAGTTGGACAGCGGCTTGAAATGCTGCCAATTCTTCCATTCTAAGCCTCACTGTTTCCTGGTTACATTATCCTGACTGGAGAATAAGTAGCCCATACTGTGTTTCCCAGTGCACGCACACAGACCCACATGGATGCAATACAAGGGAATAACAGAAACATGCAGATTCCATATGTTCTGTGCCTGCCACATCCATATGAATATGCATACAAAAATAATACCATCTGATTGGACCTTCATGAGCACAGAAAATGATGTATTCTGATTAGGCCTTGTCTTACATGTCACTTCATTGTACAGAATAAAATACAGATGCCTCCCACGGTTGCTGCTAAAAAATGGAGCTGAAATAGTTTCAGAAATCACGTCCCTATATTGTTTTAAGATGCTCCACATTTTAGCGTTTTAAAAAAAAAACCTGCCAGAGCAATTAGTCCTTGCTTTTTGTCTTAAGATATAGTCCCAAGTGATAGAAGAATGGAAAATGAAGAGGAACTAAGGAGGAAATATGTAATTTTCAAAATTTTTATAACTACTATATTATTTCATGTGATGATTTCTAATTCTGAGTTAAATTTGTATATCTAGCATTATTCTGGATTGGAAGAAGCTGTGTTTCGGAATATTCAAGCATGTAAAGAACTTGCTCAAACAACTCGCACAGCCTACGGCCCAAATGGTAAGATGTTATTTCTTTTCTGTAAATATATTTAATTTTCTATTTACCTAATAGTTCCATTACTTGTATTAAAAGTTAACTGGGATTCTGTAAAGTTTCAGATTGTTTTCTCATTTCTCAACTGAACTTAATTTTATTACATGAATTAATATCCAACCCATTCAGTAGACTGGGAAGCTCACATAAAAATCCAAAATGAACAAAATCAGAAATTATTTTCTTGATTATTTTGTTAATTACCTTGTTATAAACTTGTTAATTACCTTGTTACAAAACTTGTAAGTATTTAAAATACTATTTGATATTTTCTGTTTTTTGCTTGTTTTAGGGATGAACAAAATGGTTATTAATCATTTGGAAAAGCTTTTTGTTACTAATGATGCTGCTACCATTTTAAGAGAATTGGAGGTAACTTTTTGTTGATACTCAATTTAAAATACATTTCTAATACATTTAATTGTACGCTACTTCTTTGTGACTTTGTTTGCTAATCCAGTTTTTTTTTAGGGGGTGTACATTTTTCTGTGAGAGCATCTGAACTTAAAGTATCTAAACAACACTAGAGATGCGTGCTACTAGCCTGCTAATAGTAGCTTAGTACTTTTAGCTTAGTAGCTGCTAAAAGCCAAGCTACTTAGCGTCCTGTATCCCATAAAAAATTCAGGAATAGTAATTCATATCTTGAATATGTATTATTAAATAATGAAATATGCTTTATTTACTGAATTTTAATATGTGTTCAATGGTTTCCTCTAATATAAAATATTGGATAGGTTCAGCATCCTGCTGCAAAAATGATTGTTATGGCTTCTCATATGCAAGAACAAGAAGTTGGTGATGGGACAAATTTTGTCCTTGTTTTTGCCGGTGCCCTTCTGGAACATGCTGAGGAACTTCTAAGAATGGGACTTTCTGTTTCAGAGGTATGGGTGCTTTGTTAGATAATTGCATTTCCTATAATATTCCATTTCTATATCATACTTTTATTAGTTTGCCTGTTGCTGTTTATTAAATATGAAATCTACTAAGTTTATTGGGGCTAACTTCCAGGTAAACAGGGATATGATTGTAGCTTCAGTCTTTTTTTCTAGTAATTAATTTGAAAAAAGTATTTGAAGAATATTACCCTCTGATGCTTCCCCATGCAAAGTAATAGACCAGTAAATTTGCATTGTATGGGGTATTCTGACAGACGTCAAACTTTTGTGCATATTTATGTGTTATAGTACAGGCATTTGCTTATATTTAATTGTAGGTGATTGAAGGCTATGAAAAAGCTTGCAAGAAAGCATTGGAGATTCTGCCTGATCTTGTATGCTGCTCTGCAAAAAATCTTCGGGATGTTGGAGAAGTGGCATCTTTGCTACAAACTTCAGTAATGAGTAAACAGTGTGGTAGTGAAATCTTTCTAACTCAGCTTATTGCTCAGGCATGTGGTAAGTAAATTTTAATAGAGTTTTACTTAATATAGATTTTGTTATTCATTTAATATTCACATTGATGGTGTGGACCAAACAATACTTTTTTAATGTAAACAGCCAGAGGAAAAGTTACTTCCAATCTCTTCTTAACTCTAGGAATTCTTGTTAGTGAATGTTTGGTTTTCAGATAAGAAATCTACCTCTGCATTGTTATGTAGAGCTGAATTCCATGTAACAGGAAAATAATATGCTTTTCATATTAAATAAAGCATATTTTCAGTGAATCAATTTCCATACATTTATTTCAAATTAATATATAACTTAAAGTAGAGAAAGAGATCTGAAAGCTAACAAACTTTCTTAAAATTATGTTTTTAATTCTTTCACAGTATCTGTTTTTCCTGAATCGGGTCACTTCAATGTTGATAACATCAGAGTATGCAAAATCTTAGTAAGTTGTGATTTTTTTCTTTTCAGTATTATACATAATCTTATTAATTTTAAGCAATTTATATGGCCACCCAACTCACTCACAGTGGCTCTGGGTGGCTTACAGGAAGTTCCCAGATTTTCTTGGCACTGTTAGTGTCTCAGTAATTTTTTCACAGCCCTTCTGGGCCAAAGGAAATAACTAATAATTCTGTTCATTAAGTAGTTAGGTCCAAATTTAAAATATCTTGCATTCCCCTTGTGAATTTAATTTAAAATATGGAGTGCACAGTATGGGAACTAACGTTTTGTTTCAAGCTCCTGGCTTATATAATTAAGATTTGCGGGAATACTTTGATGAGAATTTTTACTTCTAAAACTCTGAATTTAAGAAAAAAACATAATTATCTAGTGTTAGTTTTATTTAAAAATTGTGATACTATTAAAGTCGATGTCGTATATTGGAAAGAATGTGAAAAACAGTTTCTTAAGAATCTACAGGAGTTACTGTTCCTATCTTTACAAAGTTTTCTATCAAACATTTGAAACAGTGGACAGGATGTATATTGGATGAATGATATGTGACAGAAAAAGTCACTTCTAGATCAACAGACAATCTGTATTATGTGTACTTAAGTCAGCCTGATTTGGAAAAAGGAACACATGAAATATTCCTGTTTGAGTATTATTCCTAAATAAATATAGAGTTGAAATGAAATCTTTTGCTTTTATACGAAATGTTAGCATTGAAGGACCATTTTTAATTATTCAACTTAATTGGTATGATTGTTATTTGTATTGTTTTCAGGGTTCTGGTATTAGTGCATCCACTGTATTGCATGGCATGGTATTTAAAAAAGAAACTGAGGGTGATGTTACTTCTGTCAAGGATGCAAAAATAGCTGTCTACTCTTGTCCTTTTGATGGTATGATAACAGAAACTAAGGTATGTTATGGTTAAATTTTGGTAGTAATTTATTTTTGAGCTTGACTGGAAAAGCTTCCATAATAGTTTACACATTAGTAACACACAGCATTTGTGAACCTCAAGTTTACTGTTTGAAGAGACACACAGAACAGGAAAAGGAAAGCAAGAAAATTTAAGTAATAGTTCTTAAAAGTTCTGAGGTTTATACAAAGATATAAAGAGAATGTTACTTTATTATACTGCTGAAATAGTGCCAGGAGTAATTGGCCTTTGACTATTACCAACTGGAATAGAAACATTTCCTTAAGTGAAGGAGCTCAAAGTAACAGTCTCTTACAGAACTTACAGTTGCTTGCTTAGTGACTGCCTTGTTCAGTGACTATTCAAAGTTATGATGGTGCTGAAAAAATAACTTTAGGACCAATGCCCACATTTATGACCTTCAAAGTGTTCTTCAGTCATGTGATCACCATTACAGTCAGTATGTGTTGTTCTGTGCCTGACCTGTGTTCCCCCCCCCCCCTTTTGCATTGCAGAGAGATTGGAGAGGAATGGATTACAAAAGGGTAAGCAGACACACAATGGGGAATACACATTGAAAGCAATGATATGTCAATGGCAGCCCCAAGTGTGCTATGCAAACACTCCAGTGTATTCCCCATTGTGTGCGTGTTTACTCTTGTAATCCCTTCCTTTGCTTTCTGGGAGGATGGGGGGGAAAAAAGCAATTTCTGTAGGCAGTCTGTCCTGTGCCTGACCAGTATTTCTCTCCCTCCCTCTTACAGAACAGAGTTTGGAGAGGAAGGGATTACAGTGGGGAATACGCCAGGCTCTTTGCATGGTGTGCTCGTGGCTGCCAGCGCCAGCACATTGCTTTTGATGTGTATTCCCATTGTGTGCCTGCTTACTCTCTTGTAATCCCTTCCTCTTCAATGAAATACAAACATTGATTCCCTTCTTGCTAATTCTCTTGGTGACCATCCAAAGGGCAGGGGGACGGTTTCCCATTTAGCAACTGTTTCGCTTAACAGCAGAGCTCCCTGTCTCAATTGTGGACACTAAGCAAGACTACCTGTACTTGTCTGCTAAGTACATGGAGTAGCCTGTTTTCTATTCTGTTGCTGCCTGCTAGTTTGGTTCTTGGGTGACAAGAGTATGGTAAATCTTTATGGAACTGGCTTGTCAGGAGGCTTAATACTGATCTTGATTTATTTCTCTGTCCTTGGTGCGACCACATTTAATTGTTAAAAGTAGAGAGTATTTATACATCTATGCACTGATTTTTTTCCTTATGTAGGTGTTTTAGCCTGCATTTTTTTTACAATGGGATTACATTAACATGATAGCCTTTTCCATACTAGTGATGGTTATTAAAAATAGGGCTATGGCTATATAAGTAGCAATGGTCTGTATCTTATGTGGACCCTTATTTGTGATGTAGTAGGAGTCTGCAAACAGGGTTAGTTTATGTGGTGAATCCAGGTTATTTGGTCAGAAATGTGGCATAATTTCTTTCCTTGGGCAATAAGTGTAGTTTAAAAATTTCCTGCCACTCTCCAGAATTACAAATGTAGAGTTATTTCAGTGATGTTGGAGGATTATTGGGTTCTTTGGATAGTCTGGATAGTATATAGTGTTTTAGTATGGGAAATGATATTCTTTCTCTGCTTCATTGTTTGAAGAAGTCATGTTTTTTTTTTTAAATTTAGAGATATATCAAAAATATCTCTGCTCTTACTTTACAGAATGGTTATTTATTTTTAAAACAGCAGTGTCCTATCCAGGATTACATTATGGTTGTACCACTTTGCAGATGCATCTAAAACTATATGTTACTTACGCACACATTTAAAAACAGTCTAGGGAACTGCAACTGAAATCTAGCAGATACAAGTAGATATAATTCTCATACAGAACAATAAATTGGTAGTACAGCTTTCTATCTGAACACTTAGGGAAGTCTTAAAATAGTTGTAACACAAATAAAGAAAAATTCAAATATGTCTCTTTCCCAAATTCCTTCAATAAGAAAGTAAATTCTGGCCATTCCTAGATGTGTCAGGCAGCTTGCCTACTTTGTATCATTGTCAAATTTTATGTGTAACTTTGTTCCCATAAAATGTTAAGTTCACCCCTGGCTATCCAAAAATTGACCATACTTAATTTAGGTAACAAAACAGGCCATACTTTATTAGCTAGAATTTTCAACAAATAGTAATCCCTAAGGAAGAATCATTCTGTGCTCTACGTCCTTGTGCCTATTATTTAATTGCTTTAATATTCTATCTTTAAATTATATTGGCAAGGGAATGGATTAAAGGCTTTAGGGTTATTGTATGTTATTGTGTCTGCTGTTCGTCACCTGAATCTGTGCTGTCCTGTATTTCTGGGATATCTTGTTTCCTAGTTCTCCTTTGTAATAACTAAAATACATTGTAATGAATTGTATCTGAGAACAGGAAACTAAACTTGATTATTTATTTTTTTTGGTAAGGCAGACATTCAGCATACAACTTTTATGAATGATGGGGAACATGCTTTATTGCAGGGAACTGTACTGATCAAAAATGCTGAAGAACTGATGAATTTCAGCAAAGGAGAAGAGAACTTAATGGAGCTACAGATCAAAGCTGTTGCGGATGCTGGTGCGAATGTGGTAGTATCAGGTGGAAAAGTGGCAGACATGGCCCTTCATTATGCAAACAAATACAATCTTATGTTAATCCGGTAAGATTTGCTAAACTGAAAAATCTAATTTTCCCATTCAGTTAAAGTAGTATACTTTAAAAACAAAAACAAAATACCTATTGCTTTATGATTTCAAGTTATAATGCAGATTTGACTTGATTGCAAATGCTGGGCTTTGTATTTTTTTATCTTGTGATAAGATAAATTTACACAAGATCAAAGTAGAGGGTCATGACTTGGAAGAATCAGGTCCTGTTTTCTGTACCATTTTCTTATTTTCTTACTTAAAATGGTCTATCCTATTCAGTTTTCTTTGGAAGTAAGGTTTTATTTGATGTTCCATGTTCAATTAACTTGATACAAGTTTTCTCAGGTAATAGAAATGCATATTATAAAAGCATTCACACACACTTGCATAATGAACTGAGTTATATTGAGATACTTACTCTGTGCCTATAGTTTTTTTACTCTGAGTCATGTAAGTTTGGAAAACTTTATGATTAATGTATGTGACAGGAAATAGTATGGAATAGTATGTTCAGTTTATCATGAGAATCCAATTTGCACATAAAGCAGGAAGGTGGTGAGGTATTATAAATTTTTGTTTCTGATAGAAATCTTATTATCCATTAAATGAACATAAATGTTCCTGAAAAATTTTATTGTGTAACAAGAATTTTCAAATTATAGAGTTTTCCTTCTTGAAATATTTATATATTTTAAAGGCTGAATTCCAAATGGGATCTCAGAAGATTATGCAAAACAGTTGGTGCTACAGCCCTGCCCAGATTGGTATGTAAACAACAATAATGACTATTTGTATTGTGATAATAATTCTTGACTGCTACAGCCCTGCCTAGACTGGTATGTAAACAATAATGGCTATTTCTATTGTGATAATTCTTGACATAACCATAATTCTTCTTTACCCTCACAGACTCCACCCAATTTAGAAGAAATGGGCTACTGTGACAGTGTGTATTTATCAGAAGTTGGGGAAACACAAGTGATTGTGTTTAAACATGGTATATACTTTTTAGTATACTGGATTTTTTTTTGTCCTTAAATGTAATATTTACATTTGTAAAAAAATGTTTCATGAGTCTTTTTTTTTTTTTTTTTTTTTGCAGAAAAGGAAGATGGTGCTATTTCAACAATAGTAATTCGTGGCTCCACAGACAACCTCATGGATGATGTAGAAAGAGCAATTGATGATGGTGTAAATACTTTCAAAGTACTTACTCGGGTGAGTAGAGCCTTGGACACCTATAATTTGGGGGTATTATATAACATGCATTGCAGAACTATTAATATTTTTGATATGCTGTATATACAGTAATTGGGATATTGTATTACGATTGGTATTTACACAATATGTTTATTTGTCTGTATCAACTTTATATACTGTTCTATCCAGATAATACAGTCATTGTATTAAAAAAAAGACTTTAGAAATGAATACTACTTTGAAGCCTTCATGCTTCAGTTTGTAACTTGGCATTTCATACATTTCACTCTTTTGTAGGATAAGCGCCTTGTCCCAGGAGGTGGTGCAACTGAAATAGAGTTGGCAAAACAGATAACTTCATATGGAGAGGTATGCTGCAAACTTATTTTTCCAGTCACATTTCTTCTATAATTCAATACAACTTAAAAGCAACCCCCATCTGTGTTCAGACTTGTCCAGGTCTTGATCAGTATGCAATCAAGAAATTTGCTGAGGCATTTGAAGCTATTCCCCGAGCTCTGGCAGAAAATTCTGGAATTAAAGCAAATGAGCTTATTTCAAAGCTATATGCAGTACATCAAGAAGGCAATAAAAATGTTGGATTTGATATTGAGGTAAGACCAGCTACAAATTCACCATAAAGTACAAAATCTTAAATTAATTCAGTTTTTTTAAAAATATATTAAAAAGTGGTGCGATCAACATTTGCAATACTTATAACAGATTATAGCACTTTTCATAGTGGGGTATGTACAGGAGATGGGAGCATTAGGTACGTACACCACCTTGAGTTGACAAAAAATAAAGTTTTTTCTATCTAGATAAAATAATATCTAGTTATTAATTAAATAAATCATATTTTTATAACTAAAACATGTAGGAAATACAGTGTCGCTGTATCACCCAAGTTCTTTTTCTTGGTGTTAGTAATGGTACATCCTACCAATTCTGAGACAGACTGGGTGTTTTTCATGCTATAATGTGATTGTTTAATACAGATGTAAAAGCATACAGATTTATAGTGCCTGTCCATCGTTTGAATGACAGCAGATTTAGGGACTGTAGATCAAGGTGGGGGAAAATAATATTTGTAATTAGACAGGCACAAAGGCTGTTAATCATTCTAATTGAATATTTGTTAATATTTTTAACAGGCTGAAGCTACAGCTGTGAAAGATATGTTGGAAGCAGGTGTATTAGACACACATCTTGGGAAATACTGGGGTATTAAGCTTGCTACAAATGCTGCAATAACAGTATTGAGAGTTGATCAGGTGAGTTGGCATAATAGGCTTTCCAGTTTTATACAATATCAGTATACTATGCCAATAGCCAATTTTAACATTAACATATATTTACAAAAATGTGTTTATATTTGGAGTTACACTTTTAATGGCCAACTTAATGCATGTTACTGTGTAGATTACTGTTAGGACTGTAGGTATTGACTTGTACAAATAAAGTATTCAAACTCTTAGGTTCATAAGGAATGACTTTTTTCATGAAACATGTCAAAATATGTTCGTGATGTGAAATTTCTATAGATTATTGTGGCCAAAGCAGCAGGTGGTCCTAAAGCCCCTAAAGCATCAGATCACTGGGACAAGGATGACTGGAAAGATGCCCCTGAGCAATAGTGTACAGTAAGATATGGCCTTGTGTGTAATGTTGACAAGAGTGGAAGCTTTGCATGAATGCCTTTTATACTCTGCCTGAAATGGGTATGTTTTGCTTCCACGCTCACATTTGTGTAGGCCACAGCACTAACAATCTGCTTGAAATGTTAAAATACAGCATCTTACATTGAAACCCTGTTTTAGGAATATTAAAGAATTGATAGCATTAAAAGCACATGAGTTGTGAAAATTGACCAAAGGGTGAGTATTCACTTTGTGCCTGGTAGATTGACTGGCAATTTCATTATACCAGTGTATTCAAATATACCTGAGAGAGTATCCCTAGATTTTTAAATCTGTAGATACAGCTGTTGTTACTGAAGCCAGTTTTTATTAACTGTTTTCTATGGACACAATAACTATTCCACGCCATAAACACAATTACATTTTAAAACAATTTTGGGGACATCAGGCTTCATACACAACTGGCCATGAGAACTAGCTTTCATCTTACTAGAGTATACATAGCTAATATTTCTTTCATGAAACCTTTATGAGAAAATTGAGTAACCTTTGACTCCTCCCTGAAAAAATACTAGTATGTATATAGAACCAAACAGTTAATTTTTGTGTTTTAAAAATGCAGTCAGTCTATCATGGCATAAAAATATGTAATTAAAGAATACACCTGCATACTTTACCTATTTGAAGCCTTTAAGTATTGACGACTTAAAATGTAGTGATAATATTCAAGTCTTACAACTTATTTCTTTTGTAGATCATAATGGCCAAGCCAGCTGGTGGCCCTAAGCCTCCATCAGGGAAGAAGGATTTGGATGATGACCAAAGTGACTGAAATAGTTATGCACATGTAGACAATGTTGTCTGTTTTGCCAGATGTGTTCTACTTATCTTTAAATTATGAGACTAATCTGTATTACAAGTCTACCTTGAAGCATTTCAATAAAAGCAGTTTCAGTAAGCTGTCTTTGTCTGGTTTAGAGACATGGTTATTTAAAGGATTTCCAGCATGTATACCTGGTATAGGGCTGTATATTAAAGCACTTGAATTTACTTGTTAATTATTTAAGTACAGTACAGCAAAGCATCAAATAGTTTATAGAGCTACCCAAGGCATTCAAAACATGATTTTTGATGCATAGGACCATAATTAGGCAGCTATTTTTTAACCGTAGCAGATGAATCTTTTGCAAGAAATATGTCCATGTAATCCAGATACAGCTTCTTAAACAACTGCACAAAGCTTGTAAAAAATATGGCTGCCTTAACAATTTGGAAAGAGGTGCTTTGTACGTATTTGCATTCAAGGCATTTTTTTTACTCCTTTGTATAGCTGTAATAGCTAATCTCTTAATAATTAATTAATTAGTCAATTATTCTGTAACATTTGATGAAATCATGTTTTTAAAACAGTGCATTCAAATTGGTAGTCATGAACCTTTTGTCATGTACAAGACCTTTGAAATCAGTTGATTTCATAATATATTACAGAAGATCAGGAGGAAGATTTAGACCTTTTAACTTACATTTTTGATTAAAAAATCCTAGGCATCTACAGTATGATGAGACGACTATTCTTTCCATTGTATTACAAGAGGCATTTGTGCTGTATACTCATATATATATATGAGACAGCATTTGTTTCTCCTAGCCATTATAGGGGTGAAATAAGTTTTATATTTGTAAGTAAGCTAGTCAAATATAATTTGACACATTCCTGAATTGTGCTCTGCGGCACACTTCCCCTCTCATTACTTGTAACAAATATATTGACAGTAAACTATTTCAAGTTGCTAGCTCAATTTATATCACAGTAATGATAGATCTCCATGTTATTATTGCATCTTTTAGGACATTTTTTTAAAAAACTTTACAATTAAGATCTGAGTTCATGGATCAAGGAATATACCCTCTATCACACAAATTCAGTTCATCAGGTGATGTATTAACCAAACGAAGTTACATTTACATATATATTTATTTAAAAGAAAAAGGAAGTTATGTTTAAATTCAGATTCAAGATATAAAGAAAATAAATTGAACATGATAAAGTTTGGTGAAGCTTTCCTTGATTGGAATGTTTCCAATTTACAATATTCTTTCATAGAAGAGAAGATATGCTTGTGATTTCAGGACTCTGGATATGGATACTGCTTGCACATGAGTGTCGCTTATATGAAACCACTGTCTTCTGGGTGACTCTGATTCTGAAGCTGAAAATTAAAAAAAAATCCAGAGCAAATTTTCCTTACTACTTTCCAGCTGGCTCATAGGAATTTAATTTCATATTAATTGTCCAGGATAGATTACTTATACTCACTTTGTTGAATCTTGCCATGTACAAGATCAGAAAGTTGGCTGGTAACAGTTCTTGTCTTCACATAAGCAGTGTAATGACCAGATCTCATAGTGCCACTATGTTCCACAATACCATATAAGGAGTACAATACTTCTGAAGTTCCCTCTGTTACACTCTGTAAAAGGAACATAGCTCAAGAGTATTAAAATAGTCTTGATGTTACTTATCAGCAAAAAGTAAAACAGTTCTGCTTTACCTTCATAAGTTTGTTAATTTGAAAACTGTTTAATAGATGCATATTTTAGTGAAAGGAATTTAAAGGCAAGTCTAGTATTGCTGAGCACAAAAGAATACAAAGCATATTCATTGTGACGATAACTTCACATAACTGAAGTATAAATAGATTGTGCTGTAAGAATTCTGGATAGGGTAAGATAGGTGAATAATATAATGGAAATGTGTGATGAACTTAAGAGGAAATGAGAAGCTTGCTCTTAAACATACTAATCTTGAGATTCTGGCAAAGCATCTTCAGTGGCAACACTTAAGAGATACAAGATTTGAAGCAGACAGAAAGTTCTAGTGAAAAGGTAGAACTGAATGTCACAACAGTAATACAGAAAACCAGATACTGTACAAGTACAAGATTACCTGAACAGAGGGAGGAAAAGCAAAAAAAAGTACTTGATCTTAACAAAAACATACAAAAAAAAAGTCAGAATCAGAAATCTATGGAAACAGTATTATCAACGTTGAGTGATATTAAAACGCTTGGAACTGGAAGCAAATAAGCAGTCTATGGTGCAACAATTTTTTAATGACTTTTATGACAGTATAGATTAAAGCCAGAGTTGCATGCAAAAATGTGGGTGCCTTTGATCAAATCAGTTGGCATACAACTATATTAATCTGGGGAACCAGAACATCCTGAAGATGAAAGAACAAAACCTCTGTCTTCTTTTTTCCTTTCTAACATATAAGCAAATACTGTATTCAGAAGCTGAACTTTAGAATTAGGAGCTAATTTTTCATGAAATATATTAATAATTAAATTCTGGAGTCACAAAGAAGCACAGGGTACAATACTGTAACAAGCTGGTCCTGTGTATTAAAAACATATTTTTGTAATCATAATCAAGTCCTAAGTCTCCATTTTAACATGTTCAAATCAAGTTTACAGGAGGTGCACATTATAATTTTATGAGTATAGACTAAACTTTCAATAAGTGAAAAAAAAGTAAATATTCTCTTGAATCAAACTCTACCATCTGTGTAGTTTTCTTGGCAACAATATATTGGCCATTTCCTTTTTCCAGGAGGAACTCAGTCAATAGTCCTGGGATTTCATGGTGGACTCCCATTCAAATACTAAATAGGACTTATCCTGCTTAGCTACTTCATTGAAAAGCTATGTTTTGCTACCTGCTGTGGACTGTAATATGTGATACAGCTGTCAAATTGAGTAATGGAAATAGCATAAGATTGCTTTATTATTTACCTTGCACTTAATTGAGCAGAAAGGAGCCAAATCCATAACTTCAGGAAATGTTATGTGCTTGTTTACTTTTTGGAGATTATATCCAGCCTTGGAGGGAACCGGAAAATACAAAATAAGACAAAGCTCAGAAAGAAGCTTATGCTGTCCAGAGGGTAACTCCCAATATTTCCAGCCAGCTCTGCTAATGTCAAGGCTCTGGAATTTGTAGTCCCAAACACCTGGAGACCACTCACCTGTCTACCCAACTTAAAATTACAGAAGCAAGTATCCTTGAAGATCAGAAAAAAAACTTTGTTCTTAAAGGCAAGAGGTCTAGTAATAAATGCAAGTTATTTATTTTAAGGCTTAAATATAAATGTCATATGGCAATAAACAAGAATGTCCAGTGTACTGGTGTCTCAATCACTTCCTAGGAAGCACTATTAAACTAACATAATTGAACTTACTTTACTCAAGTCATTAATTATACCTGTTGAAATCTTTTTAAATGAAGGGTTAAAATTGGTGGAGCGAGAGAAATAAGCATTTGTTTTTTGGCATTAGTGTATAGATATTTCTTGGCATCTGGAGAAGAAAGGAAAAACAGATCATGACTTAGTAGATATTCAGGAATATTATCTCTTGTGAAATTGTTTGGTTCACTATGTACATGAGATCTAATAATTTTGAATTTCAAGCATAATCCACTGGAACATTGAACAAATCAGACTCACTGATTTCTATGGGAAGAGAAATGCAAATGCTCATGATTTACAAAATTCAACAAAATATTTACCCTTGCGCAGACTGAATAATTTGCTAGGAGTTTCTGGAAACTGTATTTATGTCATTTTTCTGACATTTATGGTAAATGTGGGATTTTGCTTGTAATTTCAAAATAAGTTCAAAAATAGTATGTATAAATTTGTAGATCTTAAACTAAATCAAGATATCAGGCATAGTTCTGCAAGCTCCATAGCCACCTCGCTTTGTTGATTTCTTCAGTTATTGTTTTCCTCATATTTAAATATATCTCTCAGAGAAATGCGTCTAGATTCTACTTTTTTGCTTCATATTATACATAGTAATGGTGAGTTAAATTTTTTGAACTTAAACTGCTTCTTTCAATCAACTTTGGTAGGTCTCCCTGTTTGAAAATCATTTCAAGCTCAAAACATTTTTTAAATAGTCAAACAGCCCGTTCATATGTGGAATAACTGTTTTAAACTCAAAGTGGGGCATATAAAATTCAAAAATATTGCACACATTAATCCAGAACATTATGTTGTACCTGAAAAACTTCCAAAAATAAAAAGACATATCCTCATAGTATCAGCAGTTCTATCTGTGCTGCTGGAAGCCTACCCATTCTACATATCCAACTAAAGAATGAAAAATATTATCATAAACATTTAGACTATTTTAATTCCACTCAGTTTCGCCATACGGTCTTCAGGATTTTCAGAGATATACAAGCCAAAATATATATTCACTACAAATTGGCAACTTATTTTTCTTTAGGGATATTTATGACAATGGGACATGATAACTTCTTATCCTTTTATAAAATGGGGAAATATATATACTACTTCCTACCTAGTTCCATTAAAATAAAGTAATTGCTATTACTCAATGACTTGATAAGAAAAATAAATTCAGTGTTCCTTCAAAAAGGAACAATTTAACATACTTATTCCATTAGTCTTCATTCCACAAAGTTGGTTGCGTGTGCACACTTCACAAAGCAGTTTGTTGTTTTCACAAAGTTTCTCAATATGAGTAAACTGATACAAGCAATGAAGAATTGAATTTTCTTCTATGTTCATAGTATCCCTGCCTGCAAGAGTACAAAATGCTGTTTCTGGATCTTCATTTACTACTTCATATATTGGTGTTTCAAAATCATAAAATTCATTCAAACTATCTGTATCTTCACCAGGCTCTTCCTCCAGAAATAATTTGCTGAAGTCACTGATAATATCCTCATCTTCCTCATCCTTATTCTCAAGAGGCAGATCATCAAATTTATTGGCACACTCTATAGTGGGAACAAAGTCTTTTGTAGAAACACCCAAACTGACTTCATTGTTTGCGTCTTGGTGGCAACTGTCTGCATTTTCATCATGTTTTTCTGCATTCTGTACTTGAATTATACTTTCTCGCTCATTTATATGTTTTTTATCCACGCAATGCTCTTCACATATGTTTAATGACTCTTTGTCTCCTATTTTCAGACAAGTTATCTCAGAGTTACTTTCTATTATTTTATTGCAATCCTGATCAACTTCAGTTTTTTCAGTAGCACCACTATCTGTTAGATGAATAGCTTTTTCCTGAAATTTCTGTTGATGGCGTTGGTTCTGCCAAATGAAATGCATAAGAAATCAAGCATATCAAAAGAATAATTAACAGTAATGTATGCTGAAGATGTGTGTGTGTGTATATATACATATACATATATATATACAAACATACATACATATATATATATAAGCACTATTGTTAATTATTTATAAAATTAGAATTAATTGAGCTAATATATGACTTATAAATAAAGTTAACGTATGAGTTACAAGCAATACAGCTCCATCCAGAATTAAAGCTAAATACAGTCTGATTTACTAAGAATCAGCAGTAGTGACCTTTGGATTCTCATATATCCCATTTGCATGTTACTTTCTCCTTATGAACTTTAAATATCTCAGCAAACAAAGCTATAACTTATATGTAAATGATAGTCAAATATAGCAACATGATCTGTCACTCCTTTAGCGGTCATCCAAATCAGCAACAACACTTCAATTCACCCACTACAAATCATCTCTAAGGCATATATGTCCTGGATCATTTTATGCTTTCCTGTCCTCATTGTTACTAACCTTTGCTTGCTTTCTGGCCATTTTCTTTGCCTTTTTCTGTAGATGCTTACTTGTACCAGGAATTTCATCTCTTTCTTTCACATAACATTCATTTTCTATGTTTTCTTCATAACTGTCAATTTCTTTTTCCTGTATTTTTTTAACATTATTTTCATTTGTTTTTTTCTTGCCAGTCTTAAAAAAGATAATTATGGATAGGTTAGAGAGGATACAAAGTAGGTTCTACTACATTAGATTTTAATATAAATTTATGATTGTTGTCAAAAGAACATGGAAGAAAAACAGCCAAGATTCTGTTGGTTATTGCTCAGTGTGAACTTGAATTTTCTTTCATCCATCAAGATCTACACATAAGAGACAAGCCTCCTTTCTTGATGAGTCTTACAGATACTTTTCGTCCATTAAGAAAAATATCCATTGAATAACAGGTTTTGAGAACTCATCCTACAGCAGTTACTTAGAAAATAACTTGTGAAGTTTAAGGACTCTCAAATTACTTGAGGCACAACGCCTTTCCTTTAGTGGAAAGGAAAAGCTACCAACTGTCCTTTAAGAACTGAAGAAGCTTCTTCCAACCAATGAAATCTTAATATTTGCTGGCATACTTCTTCCTCAAGGAGCTTATTTACTTATACCATATCATGACAGCTGCTCACAAAATAGAAAAAATACTCTTTAAATACTGCATTTGACTATTTTAGATTATAGTTCATTTCCCTCATGCTTTCAGTATCTTGATAATGAACCCTGAATTTTATCATCTAAAAGTAAACTTTTTGCTTACCTGATCATTTAAGACAGGGAGTGATAAATCAAGAAATGGTTCATGTACCAAAGAAACCTGAAACAAACATTTTACAATTATAAAAGAATAAAAAAAAATTATGATTATAAAGCCTCCAGAGACTGACATTGGAACCAAGGTAAGTGAAATTAAATTAATTGTCATAACTCAAAGAAAAAAAGTTTGTGAAAAAAAAAAAGATGCAAAAACAGAGATAAGTGCCTGCAAAGGTAATGAGAGATAAGGAATGAAATCTGACAATCTGTACTAAAATTCAAAATGGGGATATTTGTTATAATTTAATATATTACATTTATATTTATTCTGATTTTTATGAATACAGAATAAGTTGTCTCCTCAGAAAAATTACAGTTTGGAAGGTGACTATAATTTTAATATCAGGTGTAAGCTTTCATCTAGATGGATACATATATTAGCAAACCTGACTGTTGATCTCTTTAGCTTCACAAAAGATAGATGCATTTTTAAAAATGTAGTATTTTTAATAAACATATGATTACATAATGTTTAATGTTTGTTAATTTAGTTTGTAAATTAATTTGGTTTTGTATTTTTGTAATCATCTTGAGTACATTTTTTTAGCAAAAAGAGAGAGCATAAATCAAATATACCTTTTTAAAAAAAAATTAGGCAGTGTCTTTTAATATAAACATATATGAACAAAGGAAGCCAGGAAGCAGTACACAAATTTAACAACTGGGGCATGGATATATAAAAATGGGATTTTTCACTTTATATATATTGTAATCGTTTGAAAAGATACACTTGAACTCTTTTTAAAGAAAATACTCCAATATACTGCATTTGTATGTTTTGTCATACTTTATTTTGCTTCTGTTAGTCATGGAAAAGTCTTATTCAACAACTGCTATAGCTTCCAAGTTTTTCAAAGTTGTACCTGGGCAGAACTTTAGGACACAGATATATTTATGTTTTGCATTATTTAATTGTGTTGAATAAGGCATGATTGGCTAGACCTACACAAACAGAGTGTAGCATAATGCTGAACCTTGTCAGATGGAAATGAAGATAATTTGAGAAAATCCAGGGTAGTGACATCACCCCTAGTGTTACTGGCCCCCAAATTTAGCATTACATACACACACACACATATAACTTACTGTTTGACACTCTTCACACATGATTGTACTTGTTAATTCTCCACCAAAAATTCGGTCCACAAAACTATGCATTAGCTTTTTCTTTTCATATTCTAAAATAAAATACAGTATGCCAACAATATACATTTTAATCTTAATTTAACCAATTATTATGTTGCTACTACACTGGGTAGAAAGAAGGTGCACTTCATATATACAGCAAACAGAATGTTAAGTATTACATCTTACAGTAAATAGTTGTAATAATATTTTTCTTCTAAATTTACATCTAAAATGTATTGGTTTACAATTCCTTTGGCAACATTGCCCAGGTCTTATAGGACTACGGTACAATATATCTGTAGGATCCTCTTATATTTTTAATACGCTTTGTTTTGCCAGTCTCAATCCAGAGATACTTTAGGGAGCTCAAGGATTTGGTTATATCCAAAGAATTATTTTTTAAAAAGTAGAATAGACACTTTTGAAAATCCTTTCAATCTTTTATGTGATATTGAAGCTGCTAAGGAAAAAAACAAAAACAAAACCACAATATGAGGAAATCTAGAGAGCTGATTGTTAAGATCCCAATTATCAAATACAGGCAGTCCTTGTTTACAAACTGTCCCTTAGTCATGTGATCGTCATCACTGTCAGTACCCATTGCCCTCTGCCTGACCTCTTGTTTTTCTCCCCCCCCCCCCTTGCAGAGCAGAGAGTTTGGAGAGGAAGGGAATAAGCAAGCATACAATGGAGAATACACATTGAAGGCAATGTGCTGGCACTGGAAGTCACAAGTGCACTACACAAACAATTGGGTGCATTCCCCACTGTGTGCCTGTGTACACTCTAATGTAATCCCTTCCTCTCCAATCTCTCCACTCTGCAGGGGAGGGGTGAAGAAAAAAACCAAGCAATTTCTGAAGGCTCTCCCTCCTGTTTTCCGTTTCCTGATCCGTTTTCCCCCTTCCCTCTTGCAGAGGAGAGAAATTGCAGTGGAAGGGATTACAAGAGAGTAAGCAGGTACACAATGGGGAATACACCAGGCTGTCTGCCTTGCGTAGCATGCTCACAGCTGCCGGCGTCAGTGCATTGCTTTTAATGTGTATACCCCATTGTATCCTTGCTTACTCTCTTGTAATCCCTTCCTCTCCAATGAATGTAAATTAATTCTCTTATTGTTAATTATCCCAGCACCAGGGTGAGCATTCCAAAGGGCGGGGGAGTGGGAAAAGGAAAGCAGTAGTGATCACATGATTTCCCACTTAGCAACCACTTTAATTAGTGACGGGGTTGCCAGTTCCAATTGTGGTTGCTAAACGAAGACTGCCTGTATACATATACAGTATACCAGAGAGCTTTAGTTTGCCATTTAATCAAACGAAGCTGACAAACAAAAGACAAATGAAACAAGAACTGACAAACTTCATATTGTAGATCAATTACTTTTGCAACTCTGATCTCGCTGTATAATAAACACAAATATTTCCTTGCAGACATAAAGCTCAAGGGAATATCTCAAAATTTTCAAGTATACCAACACATAACATAAATGCTGAAATCAAATCAGATAATCTATAGACAGGTGTACACTGAGGCTGAACATAACAAAGTGCTGCTGAGATAGAAGAAGCCTAATCCTAAATTATGCTAGCTGAATATTAACTGACAGAGCTCTATACATTATTAAACTATTTAAATGAACACCAATTTTTAAAACAATTTTCACTCCCTTTTTCAAGGAAAGGGACAGGTCCACATCATCCTCAGAAGTCAAAGATTGCCCTTAAAATACGCAAATGAAGATGAGGGTGACTTACCTTTAACCTCTTTTTTCAACTCTTCATTTTCTTTGTCAGAATTATTTAGTGCTTTAAAAATTGCAGCACTTGTTCTCTAGAAATAAGTATAATGAAGTATTTTTTTAGCTGTAACTGTTGAACAGAAACACTATTCTTTATAGATAAGCTTATTACTAAATAGAAAATATTAGTTTTAGTATTAGTACATATCTGATTTTCTCTCTCTCTCTCTCCACACCACCCAGGACCCAATTGCTGCTTCTCCTTTGAAGAAACTTTGTGGGGGAACACTGGAAATCACAGCTGGTCCGGAATGCAGCAGTGGGAATGATCCCCCCTGCTGAAATAGTAATGCTAGTTACAGTCATGCTCAAAGCCCCAGTTTAGGCCCAAGTTACCTACTTGTGTCTCAGACTTTCAGATCAGACAGGCCATGCTGCACCATTTGTGCATATCAAATTTATGTATCATTTAACATCAGCAACTGATCAACACCAGTCAACTCTGGCTTTTCAGAGGTGGGATCTATAGTATAGATTAAACTGCTATGGAGGGAAAATTTGAAAATTAATCAACAGTTTTGTCTAGAAAGGGTTTCAAAAAGCATTTTTACCCAGGCCTTTTAGAGTTTTCTTCTGCTGCTGACATTGAGATTTTTAATCTTTATATTTTTGTAAGCTATCTCAAGCCATATAGGCATGGATGGCATATAACTCTGAAAATAAATAAATAAAAATTATTTTTCCACATTTTCCACTCTCTACTTGCCATGAGTCTGAAGGGTTTTCCAATCCTTTGGGGAAGATTTAAAGGGGCTGGAGGGGAATGGAGAGAAAATAAGATAGGCTGAAGAAAAAGTCATCAAAATAATCTTTCACCTTTTTCTACTAACCAACGTTTTTGGTGGATTAAATAATTAAACTTTCTTATCATCAGAGGCCCAATTGTTCCCACTTACAGTAGTCCTTCCTGGGAATGATGAGGAGAATACTACATTAAATTTAGAATATTGTTCATACTGTATGTGAAAGTTCAATAAGCATTTTTCTTAATTAGAAAGAGGAAAAAACTCTGCACGTTTAGTCAACATGAAGCACAGATCTGCTGTCTGTTAAATATGTACATGATTGAAGCCTAGTCAATAACCACTGTTTTAAGAAGAATTCAGCCAAGATTAGACTTTGCCAGTTGACTTTTACAAACAATTGACAGCTCCATTCTGATTAATCTTTTTGTAAGTAAAGAAGACTGTGACTGTCACTGTAACTGTAAAGTTTTTGTAAGTAAAGTTACACTGTGACTGTAAAGTTGCAACAACCATTCATCATAAAATACCTACTTGGATTTCTTCAGTTCTCATCCCATCTAATAGATACCGAAGCAATTCCTGGCTGTCCTGCTGCTGATACCCTTTGAATCGTGTCGCTCTATTTTAAAATATGCACAGATACATGTTAAGGAAAGTACAATGCTTTCTGTATAAAAATTACACAAAAGGAAAAAAAAATGATAGATAAAACATCGCACATGAATTTAAAATCTCCAGGGAGTGAAGGCAGGGTTGTAACTCAGAAGATGTTACAAGAACATGTATAACAGAAGTTATGAAACATTATTTCATTGTACTGTTCCTAATACAATCTGACAGTCATAAAAAAAATAAAGGTTCTTCAAAAAGAGATTCACAATATAATTTTATGCATGTCTTTTTCTAAAATGCTACATTTATCCCTTATTAAATGCATACAATACTGAAGCCTTGACATATTTAAAAGTAAATTGTCACTTGAAATTGTCAGAAACCTGATTATACAGCAACTGATAACTTCACTTAAATATTTAGCTGATCAATGAGAAAATTATAGAACTGTAAATGTTAGCATACTATCAAAATTATAGTACAATTGTCACTGAGATATTGAGTGTAAAGTAAGCTGTAATAAATAAATTCTATATACTGATATCCATCTTAAACAGTTATAGTGCTGATTAAGTATGTAATATTTTTTCCAAAATTCAAGGTCCCAGTTTATGCAATAATTGGATAAGAAGCCCATGTAGAACTAGATGCAGATATTGGTTTAAGCCAATTATATATATATATATATATAAAAAAAACCAATTCACTAACTCTTTTGATCTTATCCAAGCCTTTTTCTCCAGTCTGGATCAGTTCTAACACTTAATAAATACTGTAGATACTAGTTTCATGGTGTAATCAAATAGATCCAAAATTACACAAAATATATGTTTCAACAGTATATTAATATAACTTTATAAATAAGATACTCACTTTTTACAAACTTGAGAGAAAAGTTCTCTAGGTGTCACAGTTCCTTTTTTTGTCTCTTGCATTTCTGCCAAAAACTGGCACATTGCTAGTGTTAGAGGTCTTGGTGGATCAAGCATTACTTCCAAAGGTTCCTAAAGACCATATAAAGAGAGTGCTGTAAGTACATACATACTTTATGCAGTCATTTATGCTGCTTATGTTTGGAGTTTATGTTTTTATGTTTATGTTTGGGGCTCAGTATCATCAAGATGCTGATGATACCTAGTTATATCTTTCGACCCAGGCCAGCCAAGTGAGGCTGTCAAGTGCCTAGAGGCTGTGTGGGTTTGGATGGGGAATAACTGTCTCCAACTCAATCCTACCAAGACTGAGTGGCTCTGGGTGTTTGGACCACCCACATCTGATAGTATTCCAGCTTTGACCTTGGTTGGGGTAGCACTTCCCCTTCAAAGTTGGTGTGCAATCTGGGGGTCTTCCTGGATTTGCAGCTCCTGCTTGAAGAGCAGGTGGCATATGTGGCCAGGAAGGCCTTTGCACAACTTCATCTGGTATACCAGTTGTGCCCTTTCCTAGATCAGGGGCCCTTCAGACATCACTCATGCCCTAGTCACCTCGCGGCTTGACTTTTGGAACATCCTATACATGGGGCTGTCCTTGAAGACCACCCAGAAGCTTCAACTGGTCCAGAATTTCAGCAGTGTGAGCAGTGATGGGCATACCTTGGTATGCCCATGTAACATCTCTGCTTCATGAGCTGCACTAGTTGCCAGTTTGCTTCCAGGTGCAATTCAAGGTGCTGGTTGTTACCTATAAAACCCTACATGGCACTGTGCCTGGTTACTTGAGGGATCACCTGTCTCCCATAGTATCTGCCTGGCCACCTCAATCTTTCAGGGTTGGTGTGCTCTGGGTTCCTTTAATTAAACACCATCCTCATTGGAACCCTGGAAGCACTCCTTCTCTGTAGCAGTTCCTGCCCTCTGGAATGAGGTCCCCCAAAAACCGAATGAGCCCCATTCTGCTTTGTTCAGAAGAGCAGTGAAGACCTGGCTCTTCACCTAGGTGTTTAACAAGGGAGAGTAAGAACCCTGTCCTTCCATCGTTCTCTACAACTGTTGTAGTATTTCGTCGGTATAACTGATTTATCAAACGTTGAAATCTTTCCCCAAATCCACGGTTTCTATTATTATTATTTTTAGAGCTGGTCATTCCACACAATCAAAGGCCTGAAATATGTCCAAAGCTATTAGACCTGCTTTCAACCTGTTTTTATTAATTGCATTTATTATGTTCCACACTTGTCCAGTTAAATTTGACATCTGCCTTCCTGCTATAAAACCACATTGATCAAATTTCACTAGCCTGAGGTACGAAGCAAGGTTGTCCCCTTTCCCAAATTCTATTTACTTTAGTTACAGAAATTTTAGCCAATGTCATTAGAGAGGATGAAAACATTAAAGGGATTGGGAACAAAAGGAAAATTAAAGTAAGCTTTTTTGCAGGTGATACTTTATTAACTATTGAAAACCCCTTGGAGTCATTGGAGGAAATAGAAGGACACTTGAGAGAATTTGGGGAAATGACAGGGCTGAAAATAAATTGGTCCAAATCAGAAATGATGTTATTTAATTACAGTAAGAAGAGGGAGCAATAGTTTATGAATAATAACAAAATAAATATTAAGTTAAAGAATTCAATAAAATATTTAGGAATAAATATAACAAGAGAGCTAGATAATTTAGAAATATAAAATCTGTATAAATTAAAGCAAGACATTAAAAAGAAGTTGGAGGATTATAGGAAAATTAAATTATCATGGTTTGGCAGAATAGCAA